TGAAGTTGTTTAAGAGATTTATGCAGAAAAAAATATCAACCTGTTCTATTTTTATAGCAGTTTTTTGTAAGTGGACATTTTTGTCCTTAGAGACTTCAGAGGGTAGTAAACATGTTTCAGTGTTCTATTGATCTATTAAAAAAATACAATGTGCATTCCAAAATTTGTCAAGAGAGAGTCTTATAAAAATGTGTTCCATATGCACTAACAGACAAAATGATGACCAGATGAAGAGGAAACATTTGACCAAATGGACAAAAATGTCCATAATGATGCATGAGGGTTAATCATTAAGCTTGTGTTATAGGATTTGTCAACAGAAGGTTATTATTTGAGAATTAGGCGGATGAGCTCATTTTAAGAAACAACATCAGGGTCGATGTGACGTCTACTGTCAGCCGGCCACTTTGATTCAGAACTTAAAGAGTTAAAACTCGTCCTCCTCACCCTGAGCAGAGTCCGGTCTAGCTGGAGTACCGCTGTCAGCCTCCTCCTCCTCGTCCAGCTGAGACAGCTGAGACGAGGGCACGCTGGTGAAGGTCTCTCTCCTGTAACGAGGAGGAACACACCTGAATCCTGACCCCGCCCCTACACACCTCTCAGGTACACAGGAGCAGACCCCCTCCATCCTGACTCACCTGATGTTCTGCTGTCTGACGCTGCAGCTTTCAGGTGCAGCGCTCACTTTGAAGCCCCGCCTCTTTCTCATGGTGCTGGTCATCTGAGAGTCCAACCTCCACACAAACACACAACTACACACACACAAACACACAAGACCAGAGTGATGAGGTGTGTTTACCTGTCTCACAGTGATGAGGTGTGTTTACCTGTCTCACAGTGATGAGGTGTGTTTACCTGTCTCACAGTGATGAGGTGTGTTTACCTGTCTCTCAGTGATCAGGTGTGTTTACCTGTCTCTCAGTGATCAGGTGTGTTTACCTGTCTCTCAGTGATCAGGTGTGTTTACCTGTCTCACAGTGATGAGGTGTGTTTACCTGTCTCTCAGTGATCAGGTGTGTTTACCTGTCTCACAGTGATCAGGTGTGTTTACCTGTCTCAGTGATGAGGTGTGTTTACCTGTCTCTCAGTGATCAGGTGTGTTTACCTGTCTCTCAGTGATCAGGTGTGTTTACCTGTCTCACAGTGATGAGGTGTGTTTACCTGTCTCTCAGTGATCAGGTGTGTTTACCTGTCTCTCAGTGATCAGGTGTGTTTACCTGTCTCTCAGTGATCAGGTGTGTTTACCTGTCTCACAGTGATGAGGTGTGTTTACCTGTCTCTCAGTGATCAGGTGTGTTTACCTGTCTCACAGTGATCAGGTGTGTTTACCTGTCTCAGAGATGAGGTGTGTTTACCTGTCTCTCAGTGATCAGGTGTGTTTACCTGTCTCAGTGATGAGGTGTGTTTACCTGTCTCACAGAGATGAGGTGTGTTTACCTGTCTCACAGAGATGAGGTGTGTTTACCTGTCTCTCAGTGATGAGGTGTGTTTACCTGTCTCACAGTGATGAGGTGTGTTTACCTGTCTCACAGTGATGAGGTGTGTTTACCTGTCTCACAGTGATGAGGTGTGTTTACCTGTCTCTCAGTGATCAGGTGTGTTTACCTGTCTCTCAGTGATGAGGTGTGTTTACCTGTCTCTCAGTGATGAGGTGTGTTTACCTGTCTCTCAGTGATGAGGTGTGTTTACCTGTCTCCTGACACAGAGATGAGGTGTGTTTACCTGTCTCCTGACACAGAGATGAGGTGTGTTTACCTGTCTCACAGTGATGAGGTGTGTTTACCTGTCTCCTGACACAGAGATGAGGTGTGTTTACCTGTCTCACAGTGATGAGGTGTGTTTACCTGTCTCCTGACACAGAGATGAGGTGTGTTTACCTGTCTCCTGACACAGTGATGAGGTGTGTTTACCTGTCTCCTGACACAGTGATGAGGTGTGTTTACCTGTCTCACAGTGATGAGGTGTGTTTACCTGTCTCACAGTGATGAGGTGTGTTTACCTGTCTCCTGACACAGTGATGAGGTGTGTTTACCTGTCTCCTGACACAGTGATGAGGTGTGTTTACCTGTCTCACAGTGATGAGGTGTGTTTACCTGTCTCACAGTGATGAGGTGTGTTTACCTGTCTCACAGTGATGAGGTGTGTTTACCTGTCTCCTGACACAGAGATGAGGTGTGTTTACCTGTCTCACAGTGATGAGGTGTGTTTACCTGTCTCACAGTGATGAGGTGTGTTTACCTGTCTCACAGTGATGAGGTGTGTTTACCTGTCTCACAGTGATGAGGTGTGTTTACCTGTCTCACAGTGATGAGGTGTGTTTACCTGTCTCACAGTGATGAGGTGTGTTTACCTGTCTCCTGACACAGTGATGAGGTGTGTTTACCTGTCTCACAGTGATGAGGTGTGTTTACCTGTCTCACAGTGATGAAGTGTGTTTACCTGTCTCCTGACACAGAGATGAGGTGTGTTTACCTGTCTCACAGTGATGAAGTGTGTTTACCTGTCTCCTGACACAGTGATGAGGTGTGTTTACCTGTCTCACAGTGATGAAGTGTGTTTACCTGTCTCCTGACACAGTGATGAGGTGTGTTTACCTGTCTCACAGTGATGAGGTGTGTTTATCTGTCTCACAGTGATGAGGTGTGTTTACCTGTCTCACAGTGATGAGGTGTGTTTACCTGTCTCACAGTGATGAGGTGTGTTTACCTGTCTCACAGTGATGAGGTGTGTTTACCTGTCTCACAGTGATGAGGTGTGTTTACCTGTCTCACAGTGATGAGGTGTGTTTACCTGTCTCACAGTGATGAGGTGTGTTTACCTGTCTCCTGACACAGAGATGAGGTGTGTTTACCTGTCTCACAGTGATGAGGTGTGTTTACCTGTCTCACAGTGATGAGGTGTGTTTACCTGTCTCTCAGTGATGAGGTGTGTTTACCTGTCTCACAGTGATGAGGTGTGTTTATCTGTCTCACAGTGATGAGGTGTGTTTACCTGTCTCACAGTGATGAAGTGTGTTTACCTGTCTCCTGACACAGAGATGAGGTGTGTTTACCTGTCTCACAGTGATGAGGTGTGTTTACCTGTCTCCTGACACAGTGATGAGGTGTGTTTACCTGTCTCCTGACACAGTGATGAGGTGTGTTTACCTGTCTCACAGTGATGAGGTGTGTTTACCTGTCTCACAGTGATGAGGTGTGTTTACCTGTCTCTCAGTGATGAGGTGTGTTTACCTGTCTCACAGTGATGAGGTGTGTTTATCTGTCTCACAGTGATGAGGTGTGTTTACCTGTCTCCTGACACAGTGATGAGGTGTGTTTACCTGTCTCCTGACACAGTGATGAGGTGTGTTTACCTGTCTCCTGACACAGTGATGAGGTGTGTTTACCTGTCTCCTGACACAGTGATGAGGTGTGTTTACCTGTCTCACAGTGATGAGGTGTGTTTATCTGTCTCTCAGTGATGAGGTGTGTTAACCTGTCTCCTGACACAGTGATGAGGTGTGTTTACCTGTCTCCTGACACAGAGATGAGGTGTGTTTACCTGTCTCCTGACACAGTGATGAGGTGTGTTTACCTGTCTCCTGACACAGTGATGAGGTGTGTTTACCTGTCTCCTGACACAGTGATGAGGTGTGTTTACCTGTCTCTCAGTGATGAGGTGTGTTTACCTGTCTCACAGTGATGAGGTGTGTTTACCTGTCTCCTGACACAGTGATGAGGTGTGTTTACCTGTCTCTCAGTGATGAGGTGTGTTTACCTGTCTCACAGTGATGAGGTGTGTTTACCTGTCTCCTGACACAGTGATGAGGTGTGTTTACCTGTCTCACAGTGATGAGGTGTGTTTACCTGTCTCACAGTGATGAGGTGTGTTTACCTGTCTCCTGACACAGTGATGAGGTGTGTTTACCTGTCTCACAGTGATGAGGTGTGTTTACCTGTCTCACAGTGATGAGGTGTGTTTATCTGTCTCACAGTGATGAGGTGTGTTTACCTGTCTCACAGTGATGAGGTGTGTTTACCTGTCTCACAGTGATGAGGTGTGTTTACCTGTCTCCTGACACAGTGATGAGGTGTGTTTACCTGTCTCACAGTGATGAGGTGTGTTTATCTGTCTCACAGTGATGAGGTGTGTTTACCTGTCTCACAGTGATGAGGTGTGTTTACCTGTCTCCTGACACAGTGATGAGGTGTGTTTACCTGTCTCACAGTGATGAGGTGTGTTTATCTGTCTCACAGTGATGAGGTGTGTTTACCTGTCTCCTGACACAGTGATGAGGTGTCTGCAGTCCTGACTGAACCTCATACAGGTGACGATCTCTGATGACACAAACAGTAGGTGAGTCAGACTTGAGACACACCTGGAGGGGAATCATTCAACGGCCCACCTGTTGGTTAATACACATACGGATTAACTCACCTGAGTGTCCGAACAGCGTGGCCACACACTCTCCAGACTCGTAGTCAAAGATGGAGATGTTTTTGTCGGAGCAGCTGGTGGCGAAGAACGACCCGGACGGATCAATTTCAACCTGCAGACACAAAATATCAGCCAATCACAGCACAGATTTGGTGGCTGACACTCGCTCACGTCTTGTTGCTGATTTTGTGGCTGACACTCGCTGACGTCTTGTTGCTGATTTTGTGGCTGACACTCGCTGACGTCTTGTTGCTGATTTTGTGGCTGACACTCGCTGACGTCTTGTTGCTGATTTTGTGGCTGACACTCCCTGACGTCTTGTTGCTGATTTTGTGGCTGACACTCGCTGACGTCTTGTTGCTGATTTTGTGGCTGACACTCCCTGACGTCTTGTTGCTGATTTTGTGGCTGACACTCGCTCACGTCTTGACGCAGATTTTGTGGCCGTTTATATTCTGTGATTGTTGTGTCATTATTGTTTGTGAAAATCAATCAAATGATTACATTTGCTTTTTAATACAAACGTTAGTTTCACTTCATATTTTACTAAATGTCAATCTTTTACAGACACACACACACAAACATGACACACAGCTCCTGACCTTCAGCAGAGCTCCGTCTTCACTGGACGAGCCCTTCAAACACTTCTTCAGCTTCCCCGTCTCCACATTGTATACCCTGAAAACACACACACACACTCACATCAGCACACACATTAAACTACACACAGCAGTGAGAGACTGCGCTGTGTTTCCAACCTGATGTTTCGGTCCTGACATGCGATGGCCACGTGTGTCCTCGTCGAGTCCAGGTCCATGTCGTACAACGTCGTCTTCTCCACCACGTGATGACTCCTGGAGAACGACAGACCGTCCGCCGCCTGGACCACGACACACGGCAGCCGTCACACACACACAGAAGGTATGATAATACTGTGCCCATGAGTGTGTGTGTCTGTGAGTGTGTGTGTCCGAGTCCGTGTGTGTGTGTGTGTATGTGTCTCTGTGTGTGCGAGTCCGTGTGTGTTTGTGTCTTTGTGTGTGAGTGTGTGTCTGTTTGAGTGTGTGTGAGTGAGTGTCTCTGTGCGTGAGTGTGTGTCTGTTTCAGTGTGTGTGTTCGACCTGCTCAGCTGTCTGGAAGTAGATGCTTTTGTCGGCTCCACAGCTCACCATTCGAACCTCCGGACTCTCACCTGGAAACAGGAAGTAGGAAACTTCAGGCGCTCACAGATTAATGTCTACAAAGAACACACGGAGCCAGAGGGCGACAGCAAACAGTTTTTGACTTTGGTCACCAACACATCCACTGAATTTTATTTTATTTTTCCCAAAAAAATTCTTGACAAAAGCCGTCATTCACACAGATCCACAAAAACAACTAAAACGCTGTAGTATACATGCCAGACCCGTAATGACACAACATGCACATGGTCACATCCTCCTCCTTTTACCTATCGGTGAATTGTTAACGTACAAACATGACTAACAACGCCGGACCATGAGGCCGGACCATTTGTTAGTTAATACCTGGAGATAAAATCGTGCTACATGACGGTATGTGTGATGGATTTTATTTCACTCAAAGAGGACAATGTTTTAAACACAATAGTTACAGTTTAAACTTCACTGTAGATGCACAGAGCAGCCATGTTGGTGAGCGATGGTGAGTTTATTCATATCATGATTTGGATTAATGAACGCTGCTGAGAAAATGAATTTAAATATAAACAGATCAATAAATCCAAACTGAAGATTCAAACTAAAAGCTGTCATTGCCCTGACAAGGAGACACGCCTGGAACCAGTACACTCCTTACTGACGGATCCAGAAGAATCGTTTTCAGAAACTCAAACACTGTGTAGTTTTAGTAAATCTGTAGAAATCCTGCAGCCCGTGTTGGGACCATGAGCCTTTCTTTACCCGTGAACTTGACTGCAGTGATGGAGGCCGAGTGGTCGCTCAGTGTCTGCTGCAGGCTGTAGTTCTCCTCCAGGTTGAAGACGTGGATTAGTCGATCCCTGCTGGCCGACGCCAACAGCTTCACACCTGAAACAACAACAACGTCAAGAAGATACTGAACACCACAAATCAGCCTGCAGAGCTCTAAACATCAGCAGCCTGCAGAGCTCTAAACATCAGCAGCCTGCAGAGCTCTAAACATCAGCAGCCTGCAGAGCTCTAAACATCAGCCTGCAGAGCTCTAAACAGCAGCAGCCTGCAGAGCTCTAAACATCAGCCTGCAGAGCTCTAAACAGCAGCAGCCTGCAGAGCTCTAAACATCAGCAGCCTGCAGAGCTCTAAACATCAGCAGCCTGCAGAGCTCCAAACAGCAGCATGCAGAGCTCCAAACAGCAGCATGCAGAGCTCCAAACATCAGCCTGCAGAGCTCTAAACATCAGCCTGCAGAGCTCTAAACAGCAGCATGCAGAGCTCCAAACATCAGCCTGCAGAGCTCTAAACAGCAGCATGCAGAGCTCTAAACAGCAGCCTGCAGAGCTCTAAACAGCAGCATGCAGAGCTCTAAACATCAGCCTGCAGAGCTCTAAACAGCAGCCTGCAGAGCTCTAAACATCAGCATGCAGAGCTCTAAACAGCAGCCTGCAGAGCTCTAAACATCAGCCTGCAGAGCTCTAAACATCAGCCTGCAGAGCTCTAAACATCAGCCTGCAGAGCTCTAAACATCAGCATGCAGAGCTCTAAACAGCAGCCTGCAGAGCTCTAAACATCAGCCTGCAGAGCTCTAAACAGCAGCATGCAGAGCTCTAAACATCAGCCTGCAGAGCTCTAAACATCAGCATGCAGAGCTCTAAACAGCAGCCTGTAGAGCTCTAAACATCAGCCTGCAGAGCTCTAAACAGCAGCATGCAGAGCTCCAAACATCAGCCTGCAGAGCTCTAAACATCAGCCTGCAGAGCTCTAAACAGCAGCCTGCAGAGCTCTAAACAGCAGCATGCAGAGCTCTAAACATCAGCCTGCAGAGCTCTAAACAGCAGCCTGCAGAGCTCTAAACATCAGCATGCAGAGCTCTAAACAGCAGCCTGCAGAGCTCTAAACATCAGCCTGCAGAGCTCTAAACATCAGCCTAAACAGACTAAAATTAACTTCTGTTCACTGACGTTAGTCCACAAACTCTAAAGTTAGAACACTATAACAAAGCATCATGATGAGAGGAGAACTAAAGCCTGCAGCTAGTGTACGATGACAACAGTGACATCTAGTGGTGAGATCTGACACTACAACATCAGGTCATTTAACAGACCTCTGTGATTGGACGGATGAAATGATCTTGGCTTACGGAAAACTCAAGTCGTGAAACATTTCTTAGGACGTAATGTATCACGGAGAAATCGCTGCTGACACCATCACCATGACAACCGTGTTTTATGGAGGACATCAGACAGGAGCTGTGTGTAACTTCTGCCAACGTCTGAATGCTCCAGTGACGAACCTTCAATGTTAGGAAAGCGTACAAACTGTTGTCAACGGACCAACTCACCTGTGGATGTGGGGGAGAACTCCAAACACAACACCTCCGAGTCATGAGCCTCGATCTTCACCAGCTGGTCCAGAAACTTCAGACCAAAGATACTACACACACACACACACACACACACACACACACACACACACACACACACACACAGTAAGGAAACGGTGTGAGGACACAGTGAAGGACATGAAGAGGTTAAACGTGTGTGTGTGTGTGTGTGTGTCTTACCGCAGGTTTCCACAGCGGTCTCCAGCTGCCAGCTGTTGTCCATCAGGACTGATACTCAGCACTCTGATCCCCGCCTTCCCATCAGCCCCTGCTGCTGCCTCGCCCTTCTCGGCCTCGGCCTGCGGTCGCTGCGTGTTCTCGCCCACGTACAGAATCCTCAGCAGGTCCTGCAGACAAACATGACAAGGTGCTCAGTGGCTGTGTGTGTGTGTGTGTGTGTGTGTGTGTGTGTGTGTGTGTACTGGTGACTCTGTGTGTGCTGGTCTTACGTTGCTGTACAGGTTGGCGTGCCCAGTGGGGGGGTCGGCGTGCCACAGTCTGATGGTGCTATCAGAGGAACAGGTGAGGAAGGAGGACGGAGGCAGACAGGCCTGAGATGACTCTGACACCTCCGGATACACCTGAAGACAGAAAGAATACAAGCTGTGTGTAAACACTCACACACACACCTGTATCTACACACAGAGCACACACACACCTGTATCTACACACAGAGCACACACACACACCTGTATCTACACACAGAGCACACACACACCTGTATCTACACACAGAGCACACACACACACACACACACACACCTGTATCTACACACAGAGCACACACACACCTGTATCTACACACAGAGCACACACACACCTGTATCTACACACAGAGCACACACACCTGTATCTACACACAGAGCACACACACACACACACCTGTATCTTCACCCCTCTCTCCTCCACCTTTAACCCTTTCTACTGTCCTTCTTCACCTCTCTCTCCTCCACCTTTAACCCTTTCTACCGTCCTTCTTCACCTCTCTCTCCTCCACCTTTAACCCTTTCTACTGT